GGTGTTCTTAGAAGCCATATGATAAAGTGGACAATGTTTATTATGTGATAGAAGTATGGTTATAATTGGTGACTGAAAATCTGACCAAAGACTCAGATTTAACTCAATCCGTTTTTGGCCAGTGACACAGTGTTATTATTTAAGTGTGTCTATACATGTGCAATTTAAAGGAGAATCAGTATGTTCCAAGTCCCATAAAATGGACACATAGATACTAAGTGTACACTAAGATGTACCACGGTATTTATATATTACAAAAAATGATTATTATTGGTAAAATGAACTATAAAGGCCACTTTGGAAACATTTCTTATAGTTTAATAACATCTCTTTTCATGCATTTATTCAACAACTTTTTTGCACCCCTATTGTGTCCTTGCTTGTGATCAAATTTGGTTTTGTAGTAGAGGACAGTAGATACGACTGATGCTTGGATGGAGCTTACACTCTAGTAGGACAGGTAGGCAATGAATAAGGAAACAAAAGCAAAATTTAAATATTACTTCCTGAAATGCTATAGGTATAAGTGAAGGTCTTCGTCACATTTCTCAAATGTGATGGTTTGTGAGTGATGTGGAAAGTTCTTATTGGCATCATGCTTGAACTTTCATAACTCTTTCAATTCAGAACTTTGATTTGTTGGGGTGAGATGCTCTGAGAGTATAAGTTGCTGCCTAACTTAGTTTTTTCACAATCTTTGACCATAAAGTAGCTCTAAGGAATAATAACTTTTTAGTCCATTCTAAAGCGCCAAGCAATTGACCATTAGAAGCCAAAAAACTTCTGCCATTTGATTGCGTATTTATTCTCCAAATGCTTTTCCGTGAAGTAAATGTTTTTCTAATTAGGCTTAAAAATGTGAAATTTTCTTACAAAATTGATTTTCCATTAAGGCAGTAATGTAGTTTCTCTTCCCTTCTGCTTGGGTATTAATTAAATTATGTCCCAACTTGTTTTAATTCAGTAATCAATTTCTTTTTTCTATTTGCACTGGATTGCAGAATCTCACTTAAAAATCACTCTGATGAATTCCACACAAAGCAGAGGTGACAGACTTGTTCTCTAATGGAGACAAAACAGTGCTGGTCAAGTCAGGAGAGCCTGTAGCCTAGCAAGGCAGGATGCCTCCCCTTCCCAAAGGCTTAGCTGTGTGGTGTGTATTTCTCGTGCTGTTTTTAGAGATGAGACAATATTGAAAAGCATGAGGATGGGAGGAAAAAAATGTTAAATAGAAAGGATCTAAATACTCTGATGATGTACCTGATGCTGGATTCATAAGTTGATAAAAAGAGAAAAATGGAGTCATTGCTGTTGAGTATAATACCTGAAGTAATTAGACAAACAATGGATTATTCTGAAAGTATGACAATTGGTTTCAGATTTCACCTGTGGGTGACATGAGTAACTACTACAAAAATCTTAAAAGAAAAAAAGGAAAAGGAGAGAAAAGGAAACAAAAAAGTCTAAAAATTCAACATATACTGGCTATTGATTTTGGAAGTCTTTTGCAAATGATCATACACATTATATAAGATGGTTTTGAGGCCATACACTGAGAGGATAAAACTAATAGCTCTATATATAACCACTTCTTGAAACTCAGAGGAAACACACTTCTGAATTCAACTATAATATATTTGATACATTGTAAGAACTTTTGTAAATGCCACAATGTACCCCCACCCAGCACAATAATAATAATAATAATAATAATAATAATAAAAAGAAACAAAAATATGAAGTCTGAGCCAACTCCAATGTCAAAGTCCACTGTCATCTCTTAGAAGATGTAAAGAGGGAGTTGTCAATTATGTAACATAAAATAAGAAAAAAAACTGAAAGTGACCATAAGCAGTAAAATGGTTTGACTGTGTTAATTTGAGGAACATTATCAAGCCAAATGCAAACTTCATCAGTGCTAGAATCTAACAGTGGAAGGTGTGTGCTTGTTGTGGTTCTTTGTGACACAGTTTATCTTGTCTACATCCCCTCCTTTTTAAACATGTGCTTAGTAAGTTCCAAATGAGGCCCTCACACTATCCATACCTTTCCCCTTAATTTCTAAATTGCTTGTACATAAACTGACCATGTAATCCTTTAGCTCACACAATTGCTTCATCACCTAAGACTTCTGTAGTTGTCAACATTCTGGCAAAAACAGCATTCTATTCAAATTGGAGGTTGAATCTCAGTGGGTCTGATTTAATCTGCTTAAGTTCAAGTCTTTTATTGAACAAGTTTACTTAACTGGATTCCGTTTCCAGATTCCAAAGCTATTCTTTGAATTCTCTATTCTCACTTTTCTTTGGTATCTTTCAGTTCATTACAATGTTAAAAATAACATTTAGCTCTGTTAGATGAAAGATAAAACAAAACCACAAACAAAATTGCTCATGTAAAATGGAAAAAACAATTCCTTTAAATTCATGAGAACTAAAGTAAATCTAAGCTTCAATTTATTCACACAATTATAATTTTATGCAGTTAATGAACAGTAGCATGAAAAAATAGAGCACATATCATTGAGAATAAGCAATTCTACAGATATGAAATGTAATTGGAACCTTATTTCCTTTATTATGAGAAAGTTCCTACCTGGGTCTAGTCATCCAGAGACACTTTGCAAACTAGACGTCTGTTTTATGAGGTTTCTATATCATAATAAAGAGTACTAGCCACTCAAATGAAACCAAAAATTAATATTCCTGAGTTGATATCAAAGAGGAAAGTCTCAAGAGTTTAAAAAATGTATTGTAGAGTTATTATTTACCATTAAAAACTTCCAGAGTCATTTAGCAGCCACAATAGTGGTTAGAGGAAAAAAGGACAGAACATGTAGAAAATGGAAACACAAGAAAAGAAAATAGGCCAGGAAAAAAGAATAGGAGGTCTTCATTCACTGAACAGTTACTACATACCAGACGCTACGCTAGGTATTTTATATTCAATCCTATTTGACCTATAAGTAAGATAAGAGGTAGATAATGTCAGGCTGTTTTCTAGATCACAAAACTAAATTTAAGGTCTCAGAACTAGTAAATGGATCAGTTAGGATTGAAACCTAGAAGTGTTTGACCTTAAGGAAGACCTTTTTCCAGAAAACAGTTTAGTTGGAAATCAGAGAGTTCAGAGTGGAGTTAGGAGACAACCCAAAAGTACATGGAAGCAGAAATACCTATTCTTTTCACTTAGAAAAAAAGTCTAAAAGAGCATATTTCTAGGAATATAGTAATATTTAATAAATACTTTCAAAATGAATCATTTATAATGATTTAAGTGACAAAAGTCTTAGAGGGAGGACATGGAAGAGGAAGAAAAATGTAGAAAAAAGAAAGAAGGGGCAAGTAGAGGGATGAAAGCAAAAATGTGATTCTTTTGGGGTATCTACTTGACCTTCTATATTCTAGAGTCAAACCTGTCAGCTTAGTGTTAAGTGTTAAAGTCTGAACATACCCAAAGAATTTTCATAAAGGAAAATTTGTGTGATGGTCTACATTTCCTGAATTCAGGCAAAAATATTTTCCATTTTTACAGAAATTCACTGGGTAAGGTCTTAGAATCCCATACCTTCATCTGGTGTGGGTAGTGCTGTAAGCCATGCAGTCTGGGCCAGGTGGGCATTATGAAGTACAAGGGGGTCATAGTCAATCAATGAGCCAATCAAAAACCAGTTACTTAAATGCAAATCAGTTACTGAATATTTATTATGGTCCCAGACAACCTCTAGACATTAGGAATTCACATGGAGTCACACATTTCAATGAAATATAAAAATTCAATAAAACCCCTCACTAATTTGTTATTTAGAAATATCATGATTGAGTAATAGAACATTTCTCTTCATCCAGATGTTTGACTTAACATCAACATTACTTCACTCACGGGAAGAACTATTTATAAAAATCATAAAATTGGTAAACTCAGTATTTTTTTTCTTGTTTTATTAGACGTATAGATATCTATATCTTCTCCCCAGAAGGAAGCAGGGCTTAACTCAATAATTTTAGAGCACACACAAAACCCAATTTCAGCATAGCAATCAACAACCCCGTTCTAAAACCTTACTTCTTAATAGGGGTTTGAATTTTGTAGCTGTAGATGGCTGGAAGATTCCCAGGTAATAGACTTGGTTGAATTTCTGTGAAGGCCCTAAAGTGACCACATCTTACAAATTTTAAGGATATGGTGATCCTAAAGACTGTGGCTGTTTGCAATGTCTTGGGTAATTATAGCCACATTTTAGGATCCAAAAAAGTAGCTGGAAAAGGTTCAGGAATTTGGAGAAGCTAAGGGTTGTTTGCTTTCTTGGTATTGACCTGCAGAGAGAGTCATAGAAAAATGCCTGTGCCAGGCGGGCACAGGATAGTCAAATAGAATTGATTATTATGGAGCATACATGCACTAAGGATATTGAAGTTCCCTTTTTTCAATCACAGAAAAATACTGGGCTTAACTATCAAAACTTGGAAAAAAAATAATGTGAAGAGTGCTATAAAAATGTGAGTCATTTATAAAATGGAATTAATATCAGTCTTTGTGAATTACAGTTGATCTGATATCTTCAGGAGAAACAAAGAATTATCTGCAATATGCAGAAATAATCAAGGAAAAGTATCATTTTATTTCACCATAATAGTTATATAATCTATGTAGAAAACACAAAATGATTGTGAAAAATACAAAGAATCAGATGATTTTTCACTGTCATTTTAAAGAAGGTGTATGTGCATTATTTTATAAGCTTTTAGAGGTAGTTTGTGTATCCAGAGATGCTGCTTATAGACCCCATGCACAAATATCTCTCTTTTCTTTCAGATAACATACAGAAGACCTGTATACTTTTTATAAGGTTATATAATCCCTCTGACCCTATTTTGCCAGCTGTCAACAGCTAGAGGCCCATATCACCTTTCATAACGAACATCTCTCAATAGGTTATTATATGAACAGCAACTGACAAGTACAGCTTGTTACATTAGAAATGCTAATGATTTTCCTACCTCTTCCTTCTCAGCACTTTGCAGGTCACGCCATTCCTCAGTTACGTGACCAAAATCCACTGTGTTCATGGGAACTTTGAATTCTCCAATGATGTCATGCTTAGAGAAACGATCAAAATCATACACAGCCATCACCAGTGTTTTCCCACCCAATTCCGAGTACGGCACCTGCAGAAAAAGAGATGAGGATAAGACACGTGGTCACAAAAATGCTTGAAGTCTGTTACTTGTTTATAGAACTTAAATTGAATATTTATGTTGGAGAAAGACAGTGGGTGATTTTTTTTTAATTGAGACTTTTAACCACTTAAGGTTTAAAACTACTTGGAAAAAATGGGAATATGTCTTGGTGACTTATCATATATGACAAAGTGCCATACACGTGTACTGTTAATAATGTATCTTACTATAATGCAATAAACACTTCATGATTAATAAAAGAATAAATGAGTGATTGCATTTGCTGTATAGATTTCTCTTGCAGAATATTTTGTTTTGCTGCTCTAAGTCATATTGTCAGAGTATAGATTACTCAGGGGCAGACAACTTGTTTCAAATTTCCATTAACTCTTTCAAGTCATTTGGATACCACAGTGTAATGGAGCAGTGACTTATTAAAAGATATTCTAAGAGTGTGAAGGATTCGAATGAATCCTCACCTACTCTCTAAAATAATTTACTGATTGACATGCACTGACTAGCAAATTGATGTTTTGAATATCAGAGATTCATTATAATATGAATCTTGAAGTTCATTTGTAGGTATGACACTCTTTAGGATGGGTAGTGGCAAAAGGCCAAGAACTGATGAATTCTCCAGCTGTTCAAATATATCTGGGACAGATGCTATGGGTTGGAAAGTTTATTAGTGACATTTTTAATATTCAGGGAAAAGCAGTGCAATCCAAGGAAGCTACACTTCAGTAACTGAATAGAAATGCCTAATTAAGAAATTGTTTAGACTTGTATTAAAGGTTTGATCAATGTTCACTCACTTATTATTATTTTATCAGAATAAATGGCTGTCTTATGCTCCAGCAAACATTTCTCAATTAAGTTTGTATATTAAATAGGGAAAGAGAAAGAATAATACTTGCCCATATATGTACAAGAAATTTTAGTTTCCCATAGATTATTCTTTATTTTTCTACCATCTGTTTAGATTCTGATTATTTAATTAAAATACAATGACTAAAAACTAAATAGAATGTTTTACCATTAAAAAAATCTAAAATAAACTTGAAAGAGCTGAATTTTGATGGAAAAAACAAATTTTAGAGTAGGAATAGGTAAACCCTTCAAAATTTTATTATATTTCTAAAATTTCTGTAATTTTTGGATGACTGTACTAGAATAGTCACAGTCAAAAGCCTTGGTTTGTCATCAGAAAGACCTGGACCTGGGCTTCCTAACTTTCTAGCTGAAGGACCTGAGGCAAATGAATCGACTTCAGTTTCCTGATCTATCCAACCGTGATAATGGTACTTACTTTTTGGGGCCATTTTATGGGTGGGTGAATATATGTAAAATACCTAGCACAGAGTAGGCACTCAAGAAATATTGATTATTCATTAATACCTCCTTCAAGAAGGGGTTTGTTTTGGAGAAAAGAAGAATGTAACTTGGGGCATGTTTAGTTTATGTGAAATAGATTAGCTTAATTCTAAGGTTAATCCTCTTTAAACTCTCTTATGCTGCCATTCAGATTGGCATTCCTATTGCTCTTGGCTTTTAAAGACGTGTAATTCACGATGTCTACTGAACATCTCCTGGACCCAGTTCTCTAAAAAACTTAATTTGGTTTTTAAACATCTCAAACTATTTTGTGCTTTGAATTTATTTATGGCTTGATCAAACTTCCTGAAATAAATTAAAAAGAACTTGTAAATGTTTATAAACAGTTATAAAATTTTAATAATTATACTTTGTGGAGTCATAGAAATTACTGATAAAATTATTAGAAATACATTTTTAGACATTTATACAGGTAACTTGAAACAAAGGAAAGCACCATAATATTGTTTCAAATAAAATAAGAATCTGCTTACTGAATTCTAGTTAGAAACTAGAGCTAAGTAAAGTCAATATATAAATAAAATACTGTTGATCATTATTTAGAATATTTTTAAGTTTATCTTTATTTTAAGTTTTATAGGATATTGACCACAGTGATTAGTTCCTTGCAAGCTGAGAATTTCCAGAATGTTATTATTGCTACTTTCACTCTGGGCACAGAAAAACTAGACTTTTAAATAATATTACTGACAACACATTGTAAAGGACTTGTGTCTTGAAAACTCAGAAATTTTAGAGAGAATAGAAAGACAGTGCTCCTTCACGAAATTGAAAACAAGATTTAAGAAAGTGATTCATGCCCTCAGCTTCACCAGTTAATTTGCATCAGAATGTTTGCTGACACAAGGCACATGGTATTGCTAAGCCTGACTATGGACAGGGTGATTTTGAATCAGCTTGCTGGCATAGTCACAGGCATTTCATTTTCCAGAAATGTATTGTTCTAAGTAATGCATTTTAAACAATTTCACATATTCAACCAAAAGAATTGTTTTTATGAATGACTTCTAGCCAAGAGCTACAAAGTTCTCTGAGACCAGCAGAACATGTTTTTCTGACAAATTATTATATGACCAGAATGTCTCTTGGTCATTGTTTGTTAACTGAGGTGTCTCAACAAGATGAAGAACCTCAGGGAAGAGCCTAGAGTCAGGAAAATGCTTGAAATTCAGAAAGCAATATGCTCATATTCTTTTTATTGATGATGAGAAGAAGGGTTTTAGAATATTCAAATTGCCCCTACACACACAGAATTTTGCAACAAGAATAATATCCATTTGTACCACAGAAGCACTGGAATCACAGGCTTACTGTAGCCTGTGATTGCAACATGGTTTACCTATTTTCAGAAACTTTGAAATTCAGGAAAATAAGATTTTGTTTCTTTGGCTTTATTTTTGGTGGTGATGGGAGTGGGATATCCAAGCACACGAGCATTCCTGGACTTGACTTTACTTTTTAGATGTGAGTGTGACATTGAAAAGTCTATATTCTATTCTGAATATGGAAAAATCTATGTTTGATTCTGAAAAGATGGAACTGAATCTGACTTTGATCACATTCAAGTGCAATATAGATTCTTTTCTAGAATGAAGATAAAAATGTAATAGTCTGAATAGAATCATTCTAAATCCCAGAATAAATCTTCATGTACATGTAATAATAAAGCCAGTCATTTGTCTAAAATAATAAAGGAAAAGTTATAAGTAAATATGAAAATTATACCTTGAAAGTAAATTGCTCATTGAAGACAGGATTAAGGGTTTTTCGGTGGACTTTTGTCTCAAATTTCTTCTTTTTATCAGGCAGCAGAAACACTTTGACATAAGGATCAGAGGTCCCCCCCATGTCTAGGGCGGGCAGCTCAGCAGCCTGGATGATCCCCACAAGCAGCTGAAATGTATGACAGAAACAATAAGCATAAATGTTGGTGGACATCCTGGGAGAGACTGATTTGTTCACAGTGCTGCATGGTGTGATTTCTCCCTATTCTTCTTTGCTCTTAATATCTGTCTATTCTCTTATGAATCTGAATACAGAAGGAAAATGAAATGAGCTCTCTAGACTTCAAAAACCCAATTATGACAGATGCAGGCTCTAGGAAGCCTAGTTTTAAGCACAAAAGAGGCTGTTAAAAGGTTGCTGATTACACTTAAATATGGAATTCATATTTGCAAAAGGGTTGCAATCAAATAACTTTACAGTTGCTAAAAGCTCTGTGCATTGTTTTTTCATGATTTATAAGTGGAAATAAATCATTAAACAATCACAAGTCTGTAATTACAAAGTAGGGATTTTTTTATTCTTTTGTAAAACCTGAGACCAGCTAAATAGAAATTTCTTAGAAATTGGGTAACAATTTGAGATACAAAATAAAATCTTCAAGTAGCTATCATACTTGACCTATCCTTGTGTGCTGGCTACTTTAAGTTACAATAGAATAATTACTCGATAAATTTAGTGTTTAAATATAGGTCATTGGATCGAAGAAATATAATTTAAGCTACATAGAAAGGAAGGGGAGATTACAGGTATGTTTTTTTTTTAAAGCTAAGTAACTATGTTTCTGATTTTTTCCAACAGCAGAAATCTGTGCATTTATTCAAACCTGTTTTCTCACTCCTATAATCCTAAATCTCATTGGGCATATTAGAATATTAAGGCATTGTTAATATTTTTATAAAGGAAAAAAAAGACATAGGTGGAATATTCTAGATATCCTGCCATCAGAGGTTTCAGGTTGACAGTCTAGCTTAGCTCCATTTGGGAAACAAAGTAGACTACTGCTCTTTGAGGTATAGGTTTTCCTTCAGGGTTTAAAAAATTGAGTCTGTAACTTTTCAGTCTATAGAATGGAAAAGCAATTTACTTCCTTAAAAAATTTACATGGGAGCCAGGCATGGTTGCTCACATCTGTAATTCTAGCTATGCTAGAAGCATAGGTAGGAAGATTGTAGTTCAAGACTGGCGTGTGTAAAAGCATGAGACTCTGTTTGAAAAATAACTAGAGCAAAGAGAGTTGGTAGAGCACTTGCCTACAAGTGCAAGGTCCTGAGTTTAAACCCCAGTGCTGACATAAAAGGAAAAGATTATATCCATTTTCTGTAAAGCTGACCTGCCTTCTGCTTAAGTGCATTTTGGCTAGTGAGCTCAACTGTTAACCTGGATTATACCCTGAAGAAGTATGTTGTTTCCATTTTAAAGCTGCAGTATCTGCTTTGTGGCATCATGTTGCGACAGTAGGAATGACTGCTGGATTGTAGGTACACAAAACAGAGACAGATGGCCCAAGAATAGCTAACGTAGGCATTGGATCATAAAGACATGATTAGCAAAGGAAACAGTCTGTCTCTTGGTTGCTAAATTTGTGTTCAGTGTTCTTGCCTTTATATGGGAATGTGAATAAGCAAGACCCTATTTCCTTATTTCACTTTTTATAACCAGTTTTCTTTTGGTCAGGGAAAACACTAGTGATGTAGCCGAAACTCTTTAAAACTAGGTCATTTTTATTTTAGAGATTTGGGGCTATTTTGTTAATGAGAAAAGGAGTCATGCCTGGCAACCTCCCTTTACTTCTGCCTTAGATAAATATCACCTTTTTCCCCACAGAAGTTTCTCAACTAGAGTGTTTTAAGCTTTTCTGTTAGTTTCTGTAAACAAATATGCATACTTGACTAGTTTTATCTACAAAGCCCCCACACCGTATCTTTTGTAACTCATAGGAATCATTTCATAAATCAAGTTAGCTAAGAGCATTTGGAAAAAGCAATGCATTATATTTAAATTTTTTCCTCAGGTAAAATCTTTTGGAACAAACCACCAGTTTTAGATTTTATGTTTGCTGAAAAGGGAGAAGTAAATATACTCTCATTATTTTTGAGTAAAAAAACCTCAGACCTATTATTAATTTTCTTAAAAATACTACTACTCTATAAAATACTTATAGCACTTAAAGCCAATTTCGATGTTTCAAAATTATGACTAAGCAGGATGAGATGACAGTGGATTTCTACTGGGAAATATGAATGAAGAATAAGTTGGGAAAAAATATTGGGTGTATAAATAAAGGCAGGTTAAATTGATAGAAAACATGTTATATGCCGGCATAAATTGACTTTGACTTTCCCTGGAATATATAAATAATAGATTTTTCTCCTAAGCAAATCTTGATAGTCACATTTTGGCAGAAGTGATAGAAATGACCTAAAATACCCTATTGTAAATAACTGTAAATTGTGTGCTTCTAGACTTGTATAAAGCCATACCTATACACAAATATGCAGATTTCTAGGCCATATTATGAAATAATGAGCCAGGGCTATAATAAAGCTGAACAAACAGTAATATTTTTAAATATGAAGGAGCATATCTCCATGTCCTCATGGGCGGCATGGAAACATCAGACATTGAAGACGTTATTTGAATTGTCTTTTCATAAATGAAGCACAGAGTTTCTACAATGGCTTATAGCTCTGACTTTGGACATCAGTCATCAAAGCTGGGCATTAGTGTTTGATTCATTTTTCATTCATTAATGATAGAACCGGATATTACCAGCCCATGGTGTATTAGTAGGAATTGTGCTTGCAGTTATCAATTCTTCCTCAACCAGAAGCATAAGAAAAATGGACTGCAGAGATTTGAGCTCCCCTAGTTGGACAAGGGCTATATGCTAAGGATTCTTAACAGCCAAATTGATTCTCCTAGTTCTTATCTAGTTTCTTAATTTCTTTAGCAATTCAGAAGGTAAAGGAACATCTTCATTAATGTCATGGATCCTAGAAGGTCTTTATAGATTTTTAACAGTTATTCCTATAATATTTTGATACGTTATTAGGATCTTTGTAAGTGCCATAATGCAGCCCTACTTAGCACAACAATAAAAGAAAAACAAGGTCGCTAATATCATCTTTCATCTAAATAGTACTTTACCACTTCTGAGTAATTGAAGTTGGAATTCCTGTTTCATAGTCTTTAGTTCCTTGTCACTTTGGGCAGCATTCATGAACACTAGGAATAAAATTGCTGGTTGTTTTACTTTTCTAGAATTTCTATCCCATTAGTTCTGGGAATTTCACCTAGTATCATGATATTATAAAAGATAATCTTGCCTTTGAAATCCATGACCATTGTTAAGTCATTTTTATTCCTTTTCAAACTATTACACTATTTTTCAACTCTGACCACTAGCCCCATTTGTAATATAAGCAATATTTATAAAATTTGGCCCTGTTTGGACTTATGAACAGGGCTAAATCCATTAAGTCCAAGAAATTTGATTCCAGCTCAGGCTGAGGGACCTGTGGAACAAGCCTAGCTGGAGCTCTCAGCAGCACACTGACTACTTCAAGTTAATTTGTATTCTGCCTGCCTGCTGTAAGTGCCATAAGTAGATGTAATCGGTTGAATACTGTGAATTCTAATTACCAGAAGTTAAATTAGCAAGTAGGGGACTGCCTGTACTTAGAAATTATTTCATCAATAGCTTTGATAATTGCATTTTCCCTTCACAGCAAACGAAATGTTTTAAGAAGTGTCTTGCTTCAATTTCTACTTGATAATTTCAGAGAATGTAATGGAATTAGAAGACATTTTCCCCTCAGACCTGGTTATTCTGGAAATCATAATCCAGTGAATATTGAAGCTTGCCCAATTTCTCCTCTTCTTTAGGTTCTTCTTTTTCCTCCCCATCAGTCAATCCGGTTTCAGCATCATCATCCTTAAGGGCCTAAGAGTAGAGAAAGGGATCAACTATGAATTCAAATGAATTTTCATCAAAATCCAAATTAAACTGGCCTTACAGTTACACCTCCAAGCTGTTAGAAGCAAGCAGTAAGATGCTGGAAATCTGTTTGTCTGACACACATTCACATTTGCTGTTTACATAGTCTTTAAATTCCACTTATGCACGGAATTTTTCCCCCCAATCAGCAAGCAACATGGAAGCGATGGAAGAAGCCCGTCAGAATATTGCAAGCAAAAATGTAAAACTGTTGCGAAGAAAATGCCAACTCAGTATATACTCGGCTGTGATAAAACTACTTTTTTCTTTCTAGTGTGATAAACATGCTATCAACCAGGCCAGATTTTGCATTCTTATAGTTTAAGGAGATGTTCAGTATTGTGTAAAACATCATTGTAACATGCAGTGAAGTAATTTATATGAACTGTGTGGCCTTTTGTTGCCTCATTTCCTATGAAAAAGGTAGTTGAGTAAGTGATCCTCAGGAAATTTTAATTTCTGTGTTTCACATATACATTTATAATGGTTTAAGGAAAAAGAGGAAAAAACATGCCACCAGCAAATGCATGTTTAGAGAAACGTTTGCTCCAATTCCAGCTGAAATTTATCGTTTTATTTTCATGACAGCTCCACAGAAAGCTAGGCTGAACTAAATTGATTTGAGTCTCAATGATATCAACAGACAAAAAGACTTGTATTTGCAATATTTAAAATACTTGAATTGATATAAAATTCATTTTGCATTAGGGAACAAATATCATGGTACTGAATTCTCAATACTAAGTCCTATCAATTAGATGTTCTTTGTAATCTAAAACTTCAGTGTAATATAAATTGAAATACTAGAAAGCTCAGAAAATACATTAAAAGACTCTGGCCTTTTAAAAATAAAAAATATAACATATTTTGCTAATATGGCAAAAGTTTTACCAAAAATATCAATTATAAAGTTTTATTTCTAGGGATGTACATTTTTATTTCTTGGAAAAAATTATAACAATTCAGTAGAAACCTATACATAGTCATTATTTAGAATTAAAAATTATCAAAAGTTATATTTCACTGATTACCAATGAGTTGAAAAAATAAAAAAATATTTTTATTAATGATTTGCGTTATTTTTCTGGGTATTGCTATAACATAGCCTTTGGTAGATTTTTAAAAATTTTGTTGTATGAGTTTTAATTATTGATTTGTATGGGCCCTTTGTATCTTACTGACTTAACCTATTTTCTTGTTGTTATATGTAGCAAATATTACCCTCTAGATTTTGGTTAAATTTTCATTGTCTTTTGTGTGTGTGTGTATGTTACTGTATAATCTTATAGAAATCAAGATAAAGCCTGTAAGTAGTGAACTTTTTAATATCTCTGACAAAATAAAGATTCTTAACTATTGTCATCTTCAAATTAAATTTGAGAAGTCTTACAGAACTCAAAAGTGAGAGATATAACCAGGATTTCAATAGACATCAGTCATCAGGCCATGACCCTATTGTCTTGTTCCCCGATTCTCCAGACCTCCAGGTCTTTTTCTCTGCCTGTTGACCCTTCCCAGCAGAGACATTCTCTCTTCACTCCCCACTTACACAGGGACCCTGAGTGGAGCTTCAGGATGGCACCCTCAGCCTCTAAATTTGCAATGCTTTGCAATTTAGTTCCTCCCAGCTAACCCCAATGTAATTCTATAATACTGGGATGCATCGTACATTTATGGAGCTCATTAGATCTGCTATCAGGTAAAAAGACCATATAAAACCAAGAGTTAAGCTATTGTCAGAGATGCCTCCCCTTTTGTGCTGTTTGAAAGTTGCAGGAGCCTACAATAAATTTGTAAAACTGACAATCTTTGTAGATCTTTGCAGAAAATCTTTGGGTTAATCCCACCATTGAATTTAGGAAGTTTATTTTAAAGTTGGATGTTTCCTTAAATATTGAAATGTTGATTTATTGATAACCAAAGGCAGGAAACAATATAATTATTTTAAAAAATTGTATTAATCTTTTAACTTGAGAGGTAGAACATGAGCTAGTGCAGTGACAAGAAAATCTACTGAGTTTATTTAAAGAAATTTAGGCACTGGAATCCCATCGTCCTTTGAACACCTTAGCACTGTCATAGAAGATGTGCCTAGAAAGTTGCAGTTCAGGTAATTCACCTCCTATAAGATTTTAATTTTTTTTATAATAGCAAACTATCTAATGTATACTTCTGTCTGAAAAATCAAATGTTACTCTACCGTCACAATAAAAAAATTGTGAATTAAAATACTTTTTCAAACGTCTCTTTTAGAATGACAATTTATATATCACATTTCAGCCCAGTGCAACTTGAAATAGCTGAGATATTAAATCTCCTTCTTCCTAAGTGGTTTTTTGCCAGAATGGAAGGTACAGGACCATCTCTGCAATTATTCTGCATGAAACAGGGCTAAATTTTTGATAATTTTTCAGTGCTACTGCTCATCACTGAAATGATTAAGTCTATTTCAATCCCAAAAGCTGAGCATAAGCAAGACATTTTCTGTACAATCACATTAGATTCAGACCTATTAAATCAGTAGCCATTATAATAGCTTGAGAGCAACATTTTTCTTTCAATGCAACAAAATTCAAAAGAAAATGCTTGTAAATCCAGCAGTTCTGAAGTTTGATAAGTTGCCATAGCAAAACCTGTGTTGAAAACAGCAGGATTTATTTTAAGTTTTAGAGGTTTGGGACACATGCTTATGGCATGCTTTAACATTCAAAAGGTAGTTAGTTCAAAACCACCAGAAGGAGCCTTGGCTCATTCAGAGATTTGTTAAAGCACACTAAAAAAGTAGCACAAGGGACTGGATTTTCTTTCTGGGTACATCAATTTAAAACTTGAGCTTTCTAATACTGTCGTATTTAATCTATGTTAGCAGTGTTTACAATGAAAATGCTTTAAAAACATCAGTTTAGTTCAGCCTCTTGATGTGTGTCAGAATGGTATGCTCTCAACTGTGGAGCCCCAGCTGCCAGGCCACTAAATGTATCTCAGCATATGTCTAAGTAGCAGAGGAAACCTACCGCAAGGGACAGTCCAGAACAGTCATGAGACACAACACAGATAAGGAGGACATAGAAGGAAGAAATAAAAATTAAAATATCCACGACACATTAGTGAAAACCATGGAGAAGTGACTTTTCCAGAACCTTGACTTTACAAATTGGTATTTTCCTCTGTTCAGTGTTACTAAATTTCCAGTCAAAAATTGAATGTTTAAGTAGCTATCTCATACAACGTGAATACACAATCTATAGTTACTTTTGCAGTTGTTGCTGAATATTTTAGGATTCTTCCTTGTCATAAAGCCTTACTATAGAGACACACAGCCATGAACATTGAAATTTGAATCTTTGTGAATTTGATATGGTAAAAACTTACTGATTTCCAAAATCCTCTCATATCTGTTCTACTTTTAAATGAGAAGGGCATAAACTATCTTTGTCTCTATCATGTTTGCTTAAATATCCTGCTCAAAATATTTTGAAAATAACTGGAATTTTAATTTATGTTTATGCTGTTTTGAGTTTGGATCATCTGCTGATCCCCATGTGACATCATTCTAAAATCTGTACATTCTATTTTTTTTCTTTAGCCTTCTTCTTAAAATATTAGAATTCATCATTAGTTATTTTTGTCAGACTTTAATAGCAGCACAATCTACTGTTACATAATTGTCATTGGGGCTTGTTTTCATTTGCTCAAATTATATTTCATTCTTCATATTTAGTTGTTCATAACTTAAAAATAATACCTAGCTAATGTCCTCAGTACATAATATGATCTCCTTAAAATGAAAACACTTTCTGAGTGGTTGAAATTCTAAACACTTTTCATTAATAGTAAGTTCCTGTAAGCTATCATTGTCACCTTAGTACTTCCTTATCGACTGATTTTTCTCTGTTCCTTCCCATCCAAAAGAATAGATGATTGAAGAAAAATTAACCACCATCTGTTTTATATTTGAGATCTTGATCATTTCTCCATGGCATAACACGGGTAATAAACACCTCCACTATGCTATAAATTACAATCCTACATCATACAGAAAAAATTCCACAAATAAAAATATAAATTTTCTTGTCCTAAAAAGAAATACTGCAGTTATCATTCAACATTATCCATTGTTTTTATTTGTAATTCCAGGACACAGCAAAAACCCATTTATATTTTGTGATAATTATGAAAATGATAGTATTGTACATTTAAATGACTGTTTTCAAAGTTACTCCTAAAATAACATACATATTTTCAGTTCATGTCTATGTACAAAGGAGACTATTTTCACACTTAATCTCCTAATAAAATGTATAAAGAAATCTGTGTCAAATCCTTCTTGGTATGGAAACAGTTAAAATAAAGCAAAGATATGATCTAAAATTTCATCTTCTACTTAACAAATTAACCAAAGAGAAAGTCCTTCTTAGACATCTGTAGTTGAATATGTGTATTTTGGGCTTTGGTAACTGATTAGAAACTGTCAGAGAATCCTTATCTCAACCAGCAAAAACCCTTGTTCCTTCCTATTATTGCTTATACTCTTTCTACAACAAAATTAGAGATAAGGGCAAAATAGTTTCTTCTGGGTATTGAGGGGGAGGAGAAGGAGGGGGCGGAGTGGGTGGTAAGGGAGGGGGTGGGGACAGGGGGGAGAAATGAACCAAGCCTTGTATGCACATATGAATAATAAAAGAAAAATGAAAAAAAAAAAAAAAAGAAACTGTCAGAGAAATTGAGGCCTTGCTCCTCTGAGGTTAGGCCAAAGCTCTCTGAGCACAAGTACAGACCTTACATCCATTCTACAGCTCTGAAACCAGGAAAAGTGCAGGGAGTGAGTAGAAAGGAGCCTCAGTGAAACTGATTTGGATAGATACTCCAGTGTCTTTGAGGAAAAGAGTTTAAAACTCAAACTGGGAATGTGGGGGATGTAGGGGTGGGATTAGTACCTTGAGAGTGTGGCTAATTAGGGAACTGGGCAAACTTGACTGAAATGCCTGTTTCAACACTTGAATAAGCTGTTTTTAAGGAGATTCATGTATTTTATGAGTTCAATTACTAGTAATTAATACCATAAGATAAATTGATAAAACTGCTTATATATGTCACTACTGGGAATAAATAGGGCTTTTGAATTATTTGATGGAAAACATTGATAGCAGCTAATGTTATTTCTATTAAAAAATCTACATATTATATGAATTGCATGTAGAATTATTCAATGTAAATATTATTCTAAACCTGAAGAGGCATTTAATAATTACAGCTATTAATAGTAAACTTTATCTTGGACTCAATTGTCCAGTTAATATAGTTTTAAAAAATCCAGCAATATAAAGGAAATCAAAATAGCTTTCCTAATGTTGGGAAGATAACCCACCACAGAGATTTTCCAACCAAGATTTTGTCTTCAAACTCTGTCCTGTTCTTTAGGACTAGAATGGCCCATGTGAATCGTTCTTCTTGATATCTACTGAGCTACAAGAATACTTGCAATGGAAGTGCTCATCAAGTATGATGAACAGCTATAAAATTCAGTTATTTAACAGTGACTATAAACAGTGAAGAAAAATACTATTTCCAAGAGGAAAAGAACTTAGGTATTCTTTATTCTGTTTTTGTAACTAGACACAGTCAATAGTGGCTAAACAGATGCAATAAAAATATTCAGGTATCACTGTCTTATGCTGGACCTATGAAGCTGGCCTGATGTGATAGCTGCTCTCCTATAGTGTACATGTTGAAAAGAGAAGAAAACCCTGCCAAGTGTCTCCACTACACCTTGGGATATTGAGCAATGGTAGAAAGATTGTCAAGCATCTCTACTACAGTGGCATGTGACCATGAGTTGTTTATGTCTGCAATTATCTGGCACAAAATAATATGCCATTCATTTGTTAATTCTCAACAACATAACTCATGCATAAGAAAGAGATGATACATTACCTGATCTTTCATGGTCTTCCCTAAGTCTTTCACATCTTTCATGTTAATGGCATTCTTTCCTCCTTTTTCCTTCCCCTTCTTCTTGTTTTTCTTTTTGAACAAACACTTCTTACAGATACAAAAGCAGCAGGTCAGGACTAAAAGGACCGCAACTATGGCTATGGCAATTAAGGCCCATGGTGGCACTGAAAGCAAAAACAAAAACACAGCACACAAAACATTAGTAATAAAATGCACATGATGTTTCAACCCATGGGCTATGAAGGTATTCATTCCTTCATCTGTATTTATTGGGTTTTGTAGTATGTTATTCACATTGTTTCTTTGCCAGAAATCTTGTATCTACTTAGCTTGTCCACAAATGTCCAGTGTCATCTCCTCCCTAACTGATTTCCTTGAATGCTCTAAGCTAGATTTCCATTAATTCATCCTACTCATTTATTCAAGGCATAGTTCTGGGATTGGACCTCTAAGTTTAAATCTTGATACCACCCATTTACTAGCTTTGTGATCTTGGGCAAGTCCTCTAACCTGACACTACCTCCGTTTGCTCATCAGGAAAGTGGAGGTAAAATTGGTAGGTACCTCAGAGAGTCCTTATGAGGATTAAATAATATGAAGCAGTGGTTAACACAGCTTAATCAATGTTAACAGCTATTACTCATCTATCAAATGCTAGGTATTACATTAATATGGAACAGACATTAATCACATAAGCAGAAAAAATGTATGTAGGATCATAACTGTAGAGAAAGCTAGGAATCAGAACTTGGTGCTCTAAACACCAATCACTGGAGATACGTCTATCAGGGTAGGAGAGTGGTTGGTTATGCATTCAGTAGTTCTTAAGCCAGACTTGAATTAAGAACTTTCTCAATGAAACCCCAGCAGCACAGCAACTAAGAGATAGCATAGATAAATGGGACCTCATAAAACTAAAAAGCTTCTGTTCATCAAAAGAAATGGTCTCTAAACTGAAGAGAACACCCACAGAGTGGGAGAAAATATTTGCCAATTATACATCAGACAAAGGACTGATAACCAGAATATACAGGGAACTTAAAAAACTAAATTCTCCCAAAACTAATGAACCAATAAAGAAATGGGCATGTGAACTAAACAGAACTTTCTCAAAAGAAGAAATTCAAATGGCCAGAAAACACATGAAAAAATGCTCACCATCTCTAGCAATAAAGGAAATGCAAATTAAAACCACACTAAGATTCCACCTCACCCCTGTTAGAATAGCCATCATCAGCAACACCACCAACAACAGGTGTTGGCGAGGATGCGGGGAAAAAGGAACCCTCTTACACTGTTGGTGGGAATGTAGACTAGTACAACCACTCTGGAAAAAAATTTGGAGGCTACTTAAAAAGCTGGACATCGATCTACCATTTGATCCAGCAATACCACTCTTGGGATATACCCAAAAGACTGTTACTCCAGAGGCACCTGCACATCCATGTTTATTGCGGCACTATTCACAATAGCCAAGTTATGGAAACAGCCAAGATGCCCCACCACTGACGAATGGATTAAGAAAATGTGGTATCTATACACAATGGAATTTTATGCAGCCATGAAGAAGAACGAAATGTTATCATTCGCTGGTAAATGGATGGAATTGGAGAACATCATTCTGAGTGAGGTTAGCCTGGCTCAAAAAACCAAAAATCGTATGTTCTCCCTCATATGTGGACATTAGATCAAGGGCAAACACAACAAGGGGATTGGACTATGAGCACATGATAAAAGCGAGAGCACACAAGGGAGGGGTGAGGATAGGTAAGACACCTAAAAAACTAGCTAGCATTTGTTGCCCTTAATGCAGAGAAACTAAAGCAGATACCTTAAAGCAACTGAGGCCAATAGGAAAAGGGGAACAGGTACTAGAGAAAAGGTTAGATCAAAAAGAATTAACCTAGAAGGTAACACCCACGCACAGGAAATCAATGTGAGTCAATGCCCTGTATAGCTATCCTTATCTCAACCAGCAAAACCCCTTGTTCCTTCCTATTATTGCTTATACTCTCTCTACAACAAAATTAGAGATAAGGGCAAAATAGTTTCTGCTGGGTATTGAGGGGGGGAGTGGGAGGGGGTGGAGTGGGTGGTAAGGGAGGGGGTGGGGGCAGGGGGGAGAAATAAACCAAGCCTTGTATGCACATATGAATAATAAAAGAAAAATGAAAGAAAAAAAAAAAAAAAAAAAAAGACTTGGTCACTGAGAGGCTATGTGACTCCAGTCAGGTGGCTTAACTGTTCTGACTGTTCCTCACCTATAACGTGAAGATTATAGTAGTGTCCATTTCATCTGGTTGATTAAAGTTGGGGTGAATTCAACTGTGATATATTTGATATATTGTAAGAATTTTTGTAAATGTCACAATGTATCCCAGAACAACAATAATAAAAAAAGAGAAAAAAAAGAAATTTAAGACAAATAGAAGAACATCCATCTCAAGAGTAATAAATTGCAGTTGACAATTGCTAAGACAGTAGAGTTTAAATATTCTCATCATAAAAACATAGGCATATAAGGTGATGGATATGTTTTTAATCATTTTATGGTATATATTTACACATATATCAAAACATCACATTGTATACCATAAATATGTACAATTTTTTTTGTCAATTAAAAATTTTAGAAGGAAAAAATTAATATACTAAAAAGCTGGAAATGGTATCTATAGTTCATAGCAAGAACTCAATGTTAGCTATTATTTCTTTATATTCAAGGCGTAGGACTCACGTTGTGTTATATGAAGGAGTCATGAAACATTCCCATTAATAAATATGTAAAAAGAGAGATGGAAACACTGAGAAGAACTCAGAGAAAATGCTAGGGAAGGGGAGGAGGAAGAGCTGACTTTTAAATAAGAGACATCAGATTTATAAACTGTGTTTATAGCAATAAAACATGTATAAATAAATACACTCAAACATTTAGTTTCCTATTACAGTTGTGTTTCTGCTAAAAGTTACTGTATTTTCTTATTTAGCATCTCTGTACATTTGCTTATAAAAAATAAAGTTTCATGGAAACATGGAGGATTTAACTTTGGAAAATAATTATTCATGATTCAAATCACAGCTATTGAGATTAATCAGAGGAAGTAATTAGATTTGTCTGTTGCTATAAAAAATAGACATTGGACACTGAAATGAGAAGAAAAAGCATAATTTTCTTCAAGCCGTATAAACATCATTAGTAGCAATGATTGTTGAACACAAGTCAGGAGTACTTTGATAAAGTAAAAGCACTTAAAATTAACCTCTCTTCAATATTGAGGAAACCCACTCTTCTTTGCTCTCCCTCTGCATTTAGCTTGTTGAAGAATATTTTCTCTGCATATTATTCTAGCTGATGACTGGATGCTAGATATTAACCTAAGGACGTAGGAAATTACAACTTCTGACACTGTGTTTTCAGCCACTGAAATACTTGTGAAATGTATATAGATAAGTCCATACCCAAATTCATGTGTCCTTATAGTTCTCATCTCATTAAAAAAATACTCTCTTTCAAACATGTAAATTAAAGTAAGCCCAAGTAGCCCATGATATTTTCATCATACTTCACTTAAAAGCTCTGATGATCTAGTTAAAATCCTTCCATGCATGAAAGAGAGACCATGTACTCACTGCAGGCCAGACAGCATTAATAATGACCCTTCATTTATGAACCTTGTAAATTATTCTCCCAGTCAGACTTTTGAGATAGTCTCTGAGAGAGCTACATAAAAGTCTCTTAAATTACACAAGATAAGACAGAGATGATTTGACAAGTTCAAAGGAAGAAAATAGATGGTAAAAGCAAAGGAACATTATTTAATCAAAACAAGTGAAAGATATAGGAATATGGGATTATAGGAAGAAATATGAAATAATGCAACTTGAAGGTAACTTCAAACCACTGAAAAAGTTTTATTTTGTGACCTTAATTTCTTAAAGCACCGTTGTTCCTCTAGATTTGCTTTTAGTTATCTTCTGTATAGCTTAATTTAAATTTTGAATATGTTGCACTAAACATAATGTTGTTAATTTAAACTTTTAAACAATTTACTGGAAACTTTAGAGATAATTTTTATATCAAAACACTAATGTAGTTGCTTTTTACACCATACAAAAGCCTGATAAGTCAATAATGTAAAGAAATGGCCACGTTTTGGTGGTTCTGGGGTTTCAACTGAGGGCCTCCTGTTTGCTAGGCAGCTTCTCTCCCACTTGAGCCACACCCCCAATGGAGCAGTCATTTTTAATAAGTGAAATTATTTGAATTGAATGCTCATGTTAAAAATTCATTTTACTGTATGGATTAAGCAAATATTTGAAAATTGATAAATTTACTAAGAAACAATATTGATAGTACTACAAATTTGTAGAATTTATAGAATATGTTAGTAAGCAAATCTTATGGACTATATTTTTCATTAGAGTGAAAATTTATTGGAAATCTACTTATGACTCAACAGCTGTGCTATGGTTTTATTTGTTTATTTTTTTGATGCCATCGGGATTTGAACTCAGGGTCTCAGACTAGCTGGGCAGATGCTCTACCACTTCAGCCATATTCCCAGCCCCTGTGCAGTATTTTCACATGCATTATTTAATTTAATCTTTCTGGGAACTTGTCAAATCATCTCTGTTTTGTCTTTTGTAACTTAAGAGACTGCTATGTAGCTCTCTGAGAGACTATCACAAAAGTCTGACTGGGAGAATAATTTTACAGAGGAAAAACTGTACAGATCGAATAATTTGAGAAATTCAAATATGTCTTTAGGTTAAGTTAAAATGTGTACATTATAATAAAAAGCACTATATTTTCTCAAAATAAATAAAATGTCTATTTTAAAATGTATACAAAAGAAATATCCTCATCTAGCTTTGAAACCTGTTTAAGAGAACATATTATATGAAGAAATTCCAGTGAAGCAAATAAATGACAGTTTCAGACGCTGTCAAGGGTGACCTTAAAAAAGAGTATACTTTCATCAAAACATGGCTACTGGCAGAAAGTCTTCACCTTATTGTAATTGTTATCCAACTATCATTAAATGAAATTTTATCATAAGAATTTTAACATGCAACTTAAAGGCTTTTAGCAGAAAACAACAAACTGGTATAAAAACTCTATGAAAAATGTTACTTTTATTTTCTAGCTAATGAATCAGGCTCT